CGCAAGGTTCGGCGGCTGGAGTAGAAGCACCACCTCGCCACGTCCGCTGGCGGCGGCGACGGCGATGGCGACGCGCCCCTGCCGCCGACTTGTACTTGTCGCCATGGCCGCACACAATAAGCTCCTGCATATGCCTCCTTGCCGTGGCCGCCCATGTGCATCCGCAGGTTGTCGTCGCGCTTGAAGCCCTTGCTGCACACGCTGCAGAAGTGCACGTGCGGCGCCAGGATCTTGTCCTTCTTGATCCGGACCACCTAGTAGGAGCCTTGCAGCGGGATGTGCTCACCGTCGGCGTCGGCGCCCTCGTCGACGTCGCTGCTATCGTGCTTGCCGTCCGCGTCGTTGCCGCCGCGGCGGTTCTTGGAGATGGAGACGAGCTGCATGACGCGAGCGTGGCCGTGCGGCAGAGCGCGGGTCGCGGCCTCGGCAGTGCGGCCGGCCGGCGTTATATGGTGTTAGGCTAAAAAACACGTGAGCTTAATCGGTCCTTGCACTCGACGGATCGAAGATCTCCTGCCTCTACCTGCGCCGCTGCGCCGATCTCCATCGCCGCCGCCGACTGCGACCAGCGGCACTGCACACACTCCCCCCTCCTACTCCTCCTTGCGCCGGGCCCAAGTGGCATCTTCTCGGCCTCGACTAATCTGATTTTGTGGCATTGCGAGGGAGAGAAAGGGTTGTGTGTTCTAGCGAAGTGAAAGTTTTGGAGCTAGGGCTAAAGAGGGGAGCGCGGTAGCAGTCGGAGCAGGAGCAGGAACGCGCTCGCCAGCGACCTCCTCCTCCGGCCACCTCCGCCGCCGCCGCCGCTCCGCCGCGGCCTGCTGACTCCCTCCCTGCCCATGCAGCGCTCCTGCGGGCCGCCGAACCTTGCGTGAGAGAGATGAAGAGAGAGGAGGAAGAAGAGGGGGTGAGCATGACACGTGGGGCCCATGTGGGCCCCACCATTTTTTATTATTTTGTGTGTAAAACTGACATTTGGGTCCCACAGGTTTTATTATTTTTCCGGATCGAATTGCCACGTAAGCGCCATGTCAATGACGCGTCAGATGAAGACCGAGTCAAACTAGCCATATAAGCGCCACGTCAGCCAAAACCGCCATCTAAACTGCCGAGGGACCTTTTCTACACCGGTTTTGATAGTTGAGGGATCTGTTGTATCTGGTTTTCCGGTTGAAGGATGAAAATCGGATTCGTTGATAAGTTAAGGGACCTCAAATGAACTTATTCCCCAGGAATATGCGAAGGTAGCTCAACTTGTTAGTTTTTTTATGGAATTTCTTTAAACGGCCCACGCACCTCATTTCTTTTCTCTTTTGTTTTTCCAGAAGATGTGATAAACATTCTTGCAATTCCAATTCATGGTAGCTGGGAAGATTGTTTGGCGTGGCATCCGGATGAAAGAGGGTGTTTCTCTGTGAAATCGGCTTATCATATGTTAGAAGATTATAAGGAGAGACAAGCAACTAGACAAAGGGGATAGTCATCTTCGTCCGTGCCGGTGGATAAATGCGAGTTATGGAAGAAGCTGTGGAAAATTGAGTGTGCTCCAAAAGTGAAACATTTCCCGTGACGACTGACGAGTGGCTCACAATAGCTTACCTCTTCGGAGGAATATTCACAGGAGGGGGCTGGAGACTGATACGAGATGTCCTGTGTGCTTTCGTTTTGATGAAGATGGGGGTCACTGCTTTTTTAAGTTCAAGCTTGTCAAGAATTGCTGGCGTCTGATGAATTTGGAACAAACTCGTCTCAGTTTGAAGATGTTGGACTCAGGCAGGTCGGTGGTCGAACATATTCTGAATTTGGAGGAAGGAAGGAGATTACAAATAGCTTGTCTGATGTGGTGTTGGTGGGATACCCGCAATAAGGTAAATGCAGGAGAGCAAGGTTCATCATCTACGGAAATTGTTAGAAGAGCCAATTTTATGGCGTCTGCGCCTGCTGGTTTGATGAGTGTAAGAACTCCCAGTCCGGAGGGTGTATCAGCAGGTAGGAGTGTTTGGAAGTTTCCACATGAGGATGAGCTGAAACTGAATGTTGATGGAGCATTCTACGAAGCAAGCAATTCTGGAGGCTGGGGCTTTATCCTGCGAAACCCCTTCGCGTTACAAGCAGCCGCGGAATGGGGTGTGAGCCAGGTGGAAGTTGAGACGGACTCAAGTTCTGGTGACAGCAGTACAATCCAGTTCTTATGATCAGGCGCCAGGAGGTATTCTGTTCAAGTCGATAAAAGATGTAGTTCGCAGAGATTTTGTCAAAGTTGTTTTCTCTCATGTGCCTCGCCGATGTAATAGGTGTGCCCATGAACTGGCCCAATGGGGTTTTAGTAGGGACCCGGGTCAATCCTCCCCTCCTAGATTTTGTTAACCGCCTGGTGGCTCGTGATATTACTGAACCTATCGTCTAAATAAAGAGGTGGTGATTGATGATAAAAAAAAATGGAGACCTCAAATGCAACCCCAGTAATATGTGAAGGTAGCTCAACTGGTTAGATTTTTTTTTATGAAACCAGTCACTAGGGTTTAGGGTTTAAGTTGTAGACTTGTGGGTGCTCACACTTAAGCTAATTATTTTTTAGTGATAGGTGATATACCCGTTAACACTAAGATGTTCATGGTGACTTTGTGAGTCTCAAGATATACCAACAGTCTTCCGAAGGTACTCATAGGGTATAGTGTGCGTGTGCACATTGTGAGCGCTTGCGTCTATACTATTTTTTTCTTAAAAAAAAAATAAAATGCTTCTTCTATTTCACATTATGAATTTAGACATATATACGAGGGGCATACAATTATCTAAAAAAATGAGGCATATACATAAATCTATGTATGCATTTATTTAAAACCTAAAACATTTTAATTATATCGTGAATAAGAGGAAGTATGTGATATGCACGCTTTAGCTAACCGCGGGCAAAGTTTAAAGTTGACCTCACTTAATTAAATTTCCTAGCATTATATTGATGATCATTCTAGAACGTACAAGCGCGATATATATATCACTGAACACTGATAAGTATCACATAGAGTATGTAATTAATTAAGAAGAAATTAGTTAACAGTCATAATGATCCACGACGAACTGAAGTATGAACAAATCATGCATGACTACACGTACGTACTGCTTCTGTCAGCACATTAATTCTAGTAGTATATATAGTCCTAGTAGTACCAGTGAAGTCTTGACAGTATACATTGACAATCACCACTAATTTAACTACCCACACGGAAACGTTCGTCACCGTGTTTGCGTAGCTCAATTACGTACGCATGCATAAATGTGCATTTGTCCTACGTGTTCCATGTCTGCGAGCAGGCAACACGATAGCTTCATTGACTGAGACTCTTCATTTAGATTAATACATACTTCATCTATTATCTGTATATGATATACCTTCTTTTTAATATATAGTGATGTTAACCCTTATTAGACACACATTTAATTATTAATCTTATTAAAAGAATCACGTAATTATTGTTTATTTTTTTACTTGATTTATTATTAAAGGTTTTCTAAGTGTGACTTATATTTATCCAAGAAAAAACAAAGTTGACTGACCCGATGCATTTAATTTGGACATATATATATGTACCAGTAGTCTACTTGTAATGCGAACGCGCACGGATGAAGAGTTTCGTGACTCGGTTTTGCTACTACAGGACAACTACTAGATTACACAATTGCACATACGTTGACTGACTAGCTTGATGATAAACACTCCAGGAAATTCACTTGAATTCCCTAACTTTCAAAACGAGAATTGACTGCATGTACTCCATGCATCACTACAATATATGTGGCGTTATCCATAGTTCTTTCCACATCAGAATTTTGACTGTTTTGTCAAAACATTTCCCCAAAAAAATCGTGAACACCAGCTAATAGAAGATAATAATATTACATGGCCAAAATCTAATATTGAATAGTTGGTGGACTTATTTTCACTGCAAAGGGACCACTGCTAGGAGAAAATTACAAGGCGAAGTAATTTCTTTGGTGTTCTCCCTAGTATTGAGTGAGTGTGGGAAACCCAATATTTTCAAGAAAAAAAAGCAGGTACTTTCGGTTTTCTCTTGTATTTTGTGGTCGTCGGCGAATTATTTGGTTACGAGATTTGAAGTAACTAAAGAAATTTAGCAAAGCTGGGGATTTTGTGAGAAAAGAATAATAATTTGGTGGATATTAAATGGTGGAGTCAACTAGTGTACCCTTATTAACCCTACAGAAAAATGGTTTCTGGATGACATGTCCTACCTAATCCACATTAGGCCATTCCTAACCCAATAACTAGAATGTTGTCCATAGCATTAAATAAGCTGTCACCTAGAATAAAAAATGATGTGACAAGTGAATAAATGATGAAAGATAAGGAAACCAGGCCTTAAATAAGCTGTCACCTAGCATTAAATTTAAGTATGAAAAAGTGATATTTCTATTGAAAGAGTAGTGTCTAGTACAATTTTTTTTATGATGTGAAGTTTATAAAAATTATGTCTAATGTCTTGAGTTAGGAATGGTATTAGGTATGAGAATTTTTTTTATCAGGAATGGATGGAAAATTAAACGACCGAATCAACGAAGAGACAAACAAATACCCAGAGTGCATAGCAAAGCGAGAAGGGAACATAAATCAACTAATTAAGTTTCTCGTAATGCAATTAACCCATTTAATATATTCGACACGAGTGCTAGTATTTATAGATAATCATATTTTTAGTGGTAGGTGATGTACTTTTAACTTAGCCCCCGTGCTCATAAGGATAAGTTACGAGTGCATGCATGTCTTATAATGAGTGTGTGTTGTGAACGATTAAGTCTGTAATATGTTTCTTAGTAAAAATAGAGAGAGCAAAGCAGAATAAAAGAAAAAGAAAAATTGGAATGCAGAAGCAAGAAAGATACCGGGCCCCACCAAGTCAGTGACACATGGAGACGTACCGGTGGCAGGCAAGCAGATACCGTGGGCCCCACAGGCAGTTGGTCAAAGCTAGCTTGAGACTCCAACTCACATATCACACACCTCGACCGGCAAACTGATGATCAACTCCTTCTTCCACTCCCGCGCGTCTCCTCTTCCCGCCTCTTCTTCCCCACGCTGCGATTCCCGAGCTGACCGGCCGGCGGCGACATGTTGGGCGAGCTCATCTCCAAGGTCCTACTGTAAGTCAAGATCATCCCTTCTTGTAGCCTCTTCGATCTTTCTCGCTATCCCTTAGTATGCATGCATGCTACCCGTTCGAACCAATGCGTACCTAAGCTATCTACATCATCCTTGGCCTGCATCATCCAATACACATGAATTAAACTTGGTCTACGAACTGAATTCATTGAGGTGCATGTGTGGATGGACTCAGGGTGCTGTTCGGGTACGCCATGCCGGCGTTCGAGTGCTTCAAGACGCTGGAGACGCGACCCGACGACGCGCACATGCTCCGCTTCTGGTGCCAGTACTGGTCAGCTACCTACCTAATGATTCTTCTTCTTCTTATTCTCCATGAGATTCAGTAGCTTGTTATTGGACATATGAAAAACTGCTGCTGATTATTGGGACTCGTTTGGTTTAGTTCTTTTGTTGCATATGCTTTGCATGGTCTCGATCTGTTTCCATTCCATGAGATTCAGTACCATGTTCTTTTTTGCTTTGTCATGTGGTGATTAATTAATTATGTCCCTTGATCACTTATATGGTTATATACTTATATGGCATCTTGATGTACGTTGTCTGTGGGCAAAAGTAGATATTATCACATTCAGTCCAATTATCCTAAAAAATATTGCGATTGAATATTGATGATGCCAACTTAATGTCTATTTTTCTTCGGTTTCCATGGATAACATATTTCCATGTGGATGTTACGTGGATAAATGACGATTTTAACTGTTTGTAACATGGACACAAACATTTGTCAACAAAACGGGTATATTTGCTTGATGTTTGACGAGTATTCTTGGATATTTGGCTGAGGTATCTTAATAGCATACTGTACTGTCTAAAAGTCAGCTTTATGAAAGATGAATGAAAGTTGATTTGTTTAACAGTTCCGCGTTGGTTGTACATTTGTTCGTCACTGAGACAATGACATGAATAATTGTTTGTAAGACAATGCTTCTAAGCATGTCATTTTTTTATTTCTATAGTTAGACTTGTGCATGCCTCCGCGGATATAATATTGATCTTTTAAAGTATGGGATTAAGGGAAGTTTTCTAAACTGCTTCCGTTAGGTCGTTTTGCCTAATTGACAATTGGGCTTCGCTCGAAATGTTAGCTAAGAAGGATATTAAGAATAGTGAGCTGCATGCACCAGTCAAAATAATGACATTCAGACAAGCATAAAAAAACAGCATATGATTCACTAGCCTCTACAAAACTTGCTAACTAGCAAATTGTTTTAGTTTTGAAAAAAAAAACATAGCACATTGTTTTGATTGAATATTGTTCAAGCTTAAATATTCACCCGGCAAAACTAGGAGCCAATTATAAAGGTTTATAATCAGTTACTGGTCCTACCTTTGATACAGCATGTTTTCTGAACATTAAACTGCAATGTTTAAACTTCTATGCTTGCCAAATTAATTTGAGATTTGTTTTTTTATATAACTTAAAATACACGCTGCAAATTAGCCAAAGGTTTCTGCCAATGCTTGCTAACACTTCGTCCCATTCTAAAGCTCAAGTATCAGTCTTCCTAACGTTCTGATGATGAATACTTTTCAGGATCATAGTGTCCATGGTGATAGCTTGTGAGAGCTTCGTCTCATGGTTAGTTGAATTATATGTGCAAAGTGTTTTCCCTTCCTAATTGATAGTTCGCCTAGTTTATGCTTGTCTACTGTAATCTACCCATGACAGGATGCCAATGTATGGAGAAATTAAGCTAGCTTTCTTTGTTTATCTGTGGTATCCCAAAACGAAGGTCAGAAAATACTCCTACATATGATTGACATACTATGATCCCCTAAAACTTACGATTCAATGGTGTATTTGTTTCACCTGAAAAAAGAACAAGAATAATTATATCGTCTTCTCACTTGGAGAGAGTAACTGTTTATTCAGGGCAGTGATGTGGTGTATGACTCCTTCATTCGGCCTACAGTGATGCAATACGAACCAAATATTGAGCAGAGGCTTGAGCATCTTAGAGCTAACTCTGGCCAGCTGATAGCATTCTACATCAAGAACTTCGCTGACAAAGGGACAGCTTTCTTCATGGACTTCCTGCGCTATGTTGTTTCTGAAAGACCTGAAGCAGCAGCAAATTCAGAGCCGGTAATTAACACGCTTCTTCTTTTCCCTATATCAGAACAGATACATCGTGATATTATCAACTGAACATCTGAGAATCTGATTTTACCTGTTAATAGAGTGAATCAAATTGTACCGTCTGGTAGTCTGACAAGTGTCATCAAATTTACCTTCTCATCTGTTTCATTCATCGTTTCAAAGACTCGTAGTTCCCTTGGGCCATCCAGATCAAATTTAGTGCCAGAAATCTCAAGTAAAGATGTCCAAATCACTGCTTCCTTGAACTACCAAAACTGAGATTTTTTACTGTCCTTGACCATGTGCGGTACCGAATCGTGGCCGTCCATCTAGCCCCATCGAACGGCTGATACAGCCTCTATACCGCGTGATACTGCAGGAAGGATCGATACGGTACCATGGGTGGGAGGGTATTTTTGTCTTTTCGTGTTCTCTTCCGCATCGCACAGACGCACACATCTCTTTCTTCTCTCGCACACATCTCTTCAGCATCGCAGGCAGGACGAGAGAGAGCACCATGGATGCGACGGCGGCGGCAGCGACAGCTGGGTGGATGTGATGACGGCCGCGGTGGGGTGGATGAGACAGCGGCAGAGCGGCGCCTTGGATGCGACGACGGCACGGAGGCGACAACGAATGGCGGCCGTGGTGGGGAGGATCCGACTGTGTTGCCTTGGAGTTCATCGGGATCTCGGTAACCCAAATCCAGTCATTCTTTTGGTGGTCAAGGGTAGGAGCTTGTCGATGCGGTACCTGGAGGCCGGCGATGGTTGCGGCGGCCATTCGTCGGGCTCTCGGTCACCAAAATCCAGTCTTTTTTGGTGGTCAAGGGCGGAGCTCGGCGATTGTTGCGGCGGCTTTTCATCGAGAGCTCGGTGAGCCAAAGCTGGATGTTGGTGGCAGAGGGCGCAAGGCTCGTAGCACCAGTGGACGCAGCACGACAGCGGTCGCCGCAGGGCTTCTCTTGGAGCCCGTATTGCTGGCGCAGCCTGGAGCGGTAGCAGTAGGAGTAGGCGCACGCGAGCCCCATCGCCATCACCAGCAGCATGTACAGCGCCCCTCTCGTGAAGCACACGCTTTAGTTCTTCAGGCCAAACCATGCTTTTCATCAGGCTGTCGTCGGTGGATGCGATTGAGTCGAGCGGGCGGTGATTTGTTTTAGCCCTCCTAAATCAACGGTTAGATTAGATTGGTACCTCACGATACCCTGTACCTCATGGTACCTACTCAAGGATGGAAAAAGTGCTCACCAAAACCACCCAAAATTCAGAGTTAGTGAGACAGACAACTTCCCCTGAACTAGTGACACACACCAGCTGGTTTTTCCAATCTGAAGAAACTCCCAACCGTCGTCCGAAAACAAGATGCTACAGCAATTAGAGGCTTCCTCCCAATCCTGCCAAATCAACCTTTCCCAGCCATCTCCCTCTCATTGCTCCCAACTCTGGCAAACAGACAGTTTGAGTTGTCACACTAAACACACCCTTTCACTGCTAGTCCTTTTCCCTTCTTCTCCCCAAACTCTGAACATCTCTGCCCCATTCAAGCCGCTGTCAGTTGTCACAGATTTGGCTCAAAATCCTGGCCCAACCTGACAGTGAGGGTGTGATGGCTGAGCCGTCGTGCGAACGACTTGTGCCTCAATTCTCCGGGATGCACAGCCATGATCCAAGCAGCTCGAAGCATTCCCTTCCACATACCAATCGTCTCTCTCTGCCTCTGCATCTGTGCTGTACTACACATTTGTTCTTCGCAGCTGCTCGATTTTCATGTGCACCACACCGTTGGGATCACCGCTTAACTGGACTTTTTTTCGGGCACGGATAATCCGGTTCCGGCATAAGGCTGGTAAACTACTTGTGCGGAACCATTCTCACGTGAGGACTGCGCCATGATATATGCTATTTCCGAGAATAGTTTTATGGGGTTCTGTTCTATCTACCTGTTTCTTTTCTTTTTTTTTTTGATTTTCATATGGAAATACTGTTTTTCGTTTTTTTCCAGGTGGTGTGGATTTTTCACACGACCGTTTTTACATACAGTAGTAGAGATAATTAAGAAAGTGATGTAATGTAATGCTAATGCATCATACCATGTTCAGCACTGATTGCAATGGAGCACCGGCCCATGTGCACGAATCTTGGCGCGAAAGATACACTGCACCAAGAGACAATCTTCTGTGTTACTACATTTTTTTTCTTTTTTTGTCCATTTCATGGTGATGATCAGCTTGATTTTTGGTCCATGTGTGTGCAGCAGAGGAGCAGTTGGTCGAGTTGGAACCCCTTCGCCAGCCGCCGGCAGGAGCCATCTCCGCCGCCGTCGGCGCCGCCGCGGGAGCGCAGGTTCAGCGGCGCCGACCCCGACGACGAGCCACCGGCCATTGCTGACGTTTTCCGCGCTTCCCTCGGCGGTGGCGCCATGAACCGGCGACCGCACAACAACAACAACAACTAAATGGCATGAATTAAGGAGCCAAAATTAAGCTTGCATTGCACCATCCATTCAAGATGGTGACCCGTGTATATTGCGTAAATACTACTCCCTCCGTTTCGACTTTGGTCAAAGTTAAACTACTTCAATTTTAATTAAGTTATAGGCAAATATAGTAATATTGATATTATCAAATTAGTTTTATTAAATCAATAATTAAATATATTTTCATAATAAATTTGTCTTGGGTTGAAAATATTGTTGTTTTTATAAACTTAATCAAATTTGAAGCAGTTTAACTTTGACCAAAGTTGTCGTGTAACCTAAAACTGTTACTACTACATAGTGAATGGATCAAAATCAAACGTCAAGTCGTCAACGAAAAAGCAACAGAAAAAGAGAAGAAAGAAACAGAGCAGATAGTAGAAGCAATCCAATGTGGAATGGATCAAATTAAGAACAGTTATGTATGAACTATGAAGCATAGTGTGATGGTGAGAGAGTTTTTCTTTTTTTTTCCCTTTCTTTGTTGCGTGTTGTTTTGTTTTGCTTTGCTTTGATTTTGCATGGTTGATTACTCCATCAATAATGCATGGAGTCATGATGAGTAAAAATTTAATAATAGTAGTATCACAAATGCATTGCCCTCAAGCTAACCAATCAGGTGTTAGCAAGCAAATCATTTCTTTTTTTGAATTGTTGCCATCATCTCTCTGTCTCACACCTAAAATCCTACAAAACTATTATTTACAGAAACTAATTACAACCCATATTAGAACAGGAAAAATCCAATTTCTGCTCTAAATAATACACTGTAAAAAAACAGAAATTAAAAAAAAAGGCAAGAAAAATCGGTCAAAAGGTCAAGAGACGTGCGGGCGTGTCTCGCCGGAGACGGCGAGGTCAGTCACCGTCCGAAGAGCGCGCCGACGAAGCCGAGGCAGCCGAGGAGGAGGCGGCAGAGCGGGCCGCGGCTGCGCCGCCGCCTCCTGCCGGCGGCGTCGGCGGCGTCCCTCGCCGACGGCGTCAGCTGGAGGTAGGCGTACGCCGCGTGCTTCACCAGCGGGTGGCGTATCATGTGCACGTCCCCTCCGCCGCCGCCGCCGCCGCCGCCGCCGCCGCTGCCACCGTCGGCGGGGGAGCTGGACTTGCTCGACGCGGCGTACTCCGGCGACGAGAGGATGTCCCGGAGGCTGGTGTACCCTCGCGCTCCGACTCCGACTCCGCTCCCGCCGCCGGGGATCTCTATCTCCGGCGGCGCCCACCGCCTCCGCATCCCCAGCCCCGCCCGCTTGCCTGCGGCCGCCGGGCGCCAGTGCCGCAGCTGGAACTCGCTACTGGTGGTAGTATTACTAGCAGCACCACCCTCGCCGTTCGCGACGACCGGCCCGCCCAGCCGGCACCGCTTCCTCGCCGGCGATGGCGATGGCGACGCGGACTCCACCACGGCTGCCACCGCCGCCGTAATCATGGCTGCAGGCAAGAGTCGACGGAGCTCGCTAGCTAGCTAGCAATCACCGCTTCTTCTTCTTCCTCCTCCTCCTAATCAAGTTGGCCTTGTGTCTTGCAGTTGCACGAGAGAATCGAATCGAAGCGAGAGATCACCGGGGAGAGTAGGAGCTCGAGGTGGAAGACGACTTCTTATTGCAGAGAGAGAGAGAGCCACGGTTTGAAGAAAAAACGCGACGATTTGAAGTTTTGAACAGGGGGAGGAGGGTATGGCCCACACGTCAGTGGGCGTATTTATTTACTTTCGAAAAATTTTGTAAAGAAATTTCGGGGGAACAGGGAGGTGGACGGGAACGGAATTTTGGGGCGAAACGGCGGGCAGAGCCGCGAGGCGAGAGCGGCTATGTATGCTGGGTGTGGGCCCCACCGCAATTATTGGGTAGTCCACGGCTATTGGCTGCGTTTGAACCTGTGGAGTATATATTTTATGTTTTTTGGTGTGATTTTTTTTTTTAAAAAAAGCAGGATATAAACGCAAGTCACTCGTAACACGCACAAACTATCCCTAAGAATACATACACATATTCTGCCTCTGTAAGTATATCTAAAATACTCGGTTGACATATCTTGAAATTGACAAAGTCACAACAAATGTCTTGTTGTCGACCAGAACATCGTCTATAATTGAAATAATAAATAATCGTAAATGTGAATACACGTGTTACTTGACGCTACATTTATCTTACAATCATCATGCACAAGCAATAATAAACTTTTTAATTTGAAAAAAAAAGATGAGTCATAATACACTGCAAAAATATTTAGTTTATGTCTAAAATTGTTCATGGAAACGTTTGGATAACGACCAAAATTAGAATAGTATATATTTTTTCTTAAAAAAATGGGGGATAGAGACAGACACGTGCAAAAAGGAGCGAAATAAAATGATCAATTATTCTATTTCGTGGCACAAAGACAACGCGCCCATCACCTACGCATGCAGCCACGAAGACTATTTCAAAGGAGGGCAGAGCGCTGATCACCGTCCGCTCTTGACGGATCGGACGGCCAGGATCGGTCGAGGTTAGTGGCCTCCCACGAAACGACGCTGCAAGTGCCGGAATTTCGACAAAGTGACCTTTTAATAAATTATTTTATAAATAATTTGTACCAAAAACATACTGCAAAAATAACCCTTTTTTAGCATTAATCTAGATGACACTGAACTATATAACACTTTAGCACGATGCATTGGCACCTCAGACAGGATCTCAGCGCCAATACACATAGTGTTGAGATGTTATAGCTTTGTGATTAGCGCTAAGAAAACTTTTTTTTACTAAAAAAGTTTTATAGAAGAGTCATTCTATCAAATTTTCGGCTGCAGGTGAGAGGATAGACACGAGACGCACAAGCGTCAACCTTTTCACGTTCAAGCTCCTTCTAAGTGGTGGGGCCCGCCCATCTACGTTATCGGTCCAACTCAGCCTTCCTCGTGGATTTATTATCGGCCCATCTTTTCGTTTGTGTTTATGCTTGTTAGTCAAAATTTAAATTTTTGACCTTAAATTTGGAGTTGATTTTGGAGATTTTTTCATCGAAGTTTATTTTTCCGTCTTTGATTTTAAATCGCCAAAAACACGTATATAAAAATTTTATCATAAATTATTTTTCGTTTGCAAAGAAACGATGGGGACCTATATGTGTGTGTTGAGCGGAAGCACTACTTTAACATAAACGATTTTTATAGAAATTCAGGTGTAAGTGCAAGTTTCCCGGTTGACCTGTTTAAAAGTCTCAAATCATCCTCCAGTTTTATAGTTCTCTATGCTTTGAATAAGGTTAGGTTAAACTTTTATAATTTTTAACCATTAATAACTTACCCAAAAAAACCATCAATAACTTAAAAAAATATTTATTTTAAAGATATCAGAACAACATATATATAAATTTATCTTAAAAAATAAAAATATGTTTATTTGTTGTATATATTAATAGAAAAACTGTAGTTAAAGATATATTTTAAAAATTATATAGTATTCAAAACGTTAAAAATTATAGAACCGGCGGGAGCACGTACTAGCTAACAGCTAGCTGTACTATTAAGGTTGCGCTTAAGAAGTTAAGGAACTTTGAGAGTTAATTAAACGTCTACACAAGACAACAAGCCCATCTTTCCGTGATATGATGAATGCTTTTCAACGACAAGTATGATCCGGTCATTGCTTTCACTACAAATATCGTACAAACTCTCATTTGCATATGACAGTACAGTGACCATATAATAAGCTTGTCCAGTCACCAGGCATGTTTTCTTTCATTAATTTAGGGTTTATTCCAATGCAATCCATGCCATTATGAGTTGAAGCAGGATAATTAATTTCTCTGTAATAACGACAAGAACATGAAACAAAGTGCAAGATCCCTTGAATAATCGGTCGGCCATCTGGAGGAAAATGGAGCGGTTGTTTCGTCAAAAAAGCAAAATTAAGTTGAGTTGAGAGGTTTCCTAATTAAAAGAGAGTGAAAGAGGGTGCACCTGTTCATGCATGTCTCCAACCGGTGGCCGAAAGCATGGAAAGATCAGAGGCAAATAGCCCCTCTTTTCCTCCTCCATCTACTGCTACCTTCTAATGCTTGTCTCATCATCTTCACCATATGGGTTACATAATATTGGAAACAAAAATCATATTAAAATATCAAAAAAAAACAAAGCTATACAGATAGGAACATGCTTGCCAGTATTGATGTATTTAACCTAATATGAATTTACAATATGACCAAATAGATTGGGATTCAAGCTTAATTACATTATGCAGATAACAAACTATTTTCTTCTTTTAACCATTAGATGTTTGGTTCAATTCTTAATGGGCCTCTAACCTATAGGTCAAATAGAGCCATAGAGGCATAGACCATATATATTGGGATATTTCGAAATACGATAATTATTTTATTATAAAAGATAATTAATTTCCATGTAAACATGGTACAAAAATAAGAAAATGGTTGACATAATAGAAAAACCGTTTATTTTTTCTCGATCATTTTCATTTGCATTTTCGCACTATTTTTAGATGGCTCAATTGGTAGAAATCGAAAACGAGTGTCGCTTAGTCAAGAATTTCTGTAGCCGTTTTTACCCATTGGCGTGTATGAAAGCTAGATAGATTAAATGTGTATCAGTCTTGAGAAGATAAAATACGACAGATGCTGCATGTATTGTCGCTTTTTCTTCCGTTTACTTGGAACTTATCTAACTTTCTAGAGTGGTTGCGAATTAGAGCATGTGCAGCCAAAGAAACATATGCTTGGCCTAGTCGAATTGACCAACCGGTGTAGTTGATGTTGATACAGATGGTCGTCCTCACGAGACAAATTAATCTCGCTGTTAAAGATAATTAAATGTGGACTATGTGTATATCTACCAGTACTGTTAATAGTTTGTTTTTTTTTATGCTGATACCAACGATTCTGCATTAGTTTATCATCACCAGGAGTTGAGTAAAATTTATAGAAGTACAGGTATTCAGACAAGTTCCCTAAAACTGAATTTGGACACGATTGTACATGTCAGTGTGCAGTTTGGGCTCTGTTCGTGTATTGACCTGGGCCGTCATCTTCATGGGCTTGTGGAGCAAGGTATCGGCCCATCTAAAAGGTCGTAACAGCAGGCCCCTCCGACCTGGGCCCATTAACTAGTAAAGATGGGCCCACTTCAGCCACATAGGGCCCATGCATTACGTAAGGCTTACTTTCATGGCCAACGAAAGCTTTGCAAGGCCCAAAATCATCAGTTCACTTTTCTTCTGTTGCTTGCAATTTTATCTGAATAGAGTTTGGACCTTTCCTTTGAGACTCCAATTTGAACACTCTACTTTTCCATTTTCAATATAGCTTGTCAATAATGTTAAATATTTTACATGTCAAATAATTGTTTTGGAACAATGGATGATTTTCTATTATTTGCAGCGAAGCATGCACTCTAAATTAGAACTATTTCAGAAAAAAAATGATGCGATTAGCATCTTTTTTTTTAAAAAAAAGGTTGCATATATAGAATAAAAGAAATGAAGCACACTTGTTTGGGTGTGAAAGAGGTTTACCAAAAACACACAGTAGAGAGTATATAGATTTGTTTGATTCCACACTTGATTACTGAATTTTCCAGTAGTTAAAGGGAATCAAAGGACAATGCGTATTTATATATCCTATCTTTCACCATATATAAAGAAGGTAATTATGTAATGCTAATGTGCTACGGGCTACATGAAAAGGTTTAGCCTAAAACAAGCAACAAAGATGCGTTGTATAGTTTAGTGACCAAGATGCCACCTGCTTTGTAATCCATCAGAAAATGCCATATAAGTGCTTTTGATTGCAATGCCTTTACTTTGCGAAAAGATGAATAAAATCAAAACAAAAATAAAGCCCTTTCATTCATCATGAAGCAGAGTATTATTGATGCACTCCCATCGAATTGAACTCTTGCCAGTGTGTATACCAACACACACACACCTCTCTAATCCTGCATCTTTTTTTTTTCCAATTTGTTGATGCTTTTCCTTCCATGCATCTATCTCTTCATCCTTTTCTTCCTTTTTCTCTCCAGGCACTTCTTTTACTGCATTTGTATGGGGGGCTTTTTCAAAAACAATTTTGATTCTAATCATGAATACTGTCTTTTGTGTGGCTTTTGGACCATAGGGAGATCGAGGTGATCAGACCAAGCTGATCTACTTTTGACTGGAAACCAGCTGACAGAACACAACTACAGCCATTTTGACCAAAGCTCTAGATTATTGATTAAAAATGCTAAATTAATTAAGGTTGAATATATCTATATATGTGAAAAACCGAACCAAATTAAATGTGCTGTTTCAATCTGCAAGGAGGGGGAATTTAGCAGCATGCAGCTAGCTACTAGCTAGCACAAGATCAGATCACTGGCCCTGATAGATAGATGCAGGACAAGAGACTGGCTTAGCTAGCTTTATTCCAGTCCATGATCTGCTTTGATATCTATCTTTTGGAGGCAGAGATGAAAGGGTTTCACAGTTCCCGATTCTATAGCCTAAACACCATCCATGATCATATGTACATAGATCCATCTATCTCGTGGCAGACCAGAGCCGGAGACCAAGGAGGAATGAGTTCCATGGCTACAGAGATCAGATGTACAGATGAGCTACTAGCTAGCATGCGTCGTTGCTGGATCAAATTAAAGTTGCATCATGCATGTAATACAGTGACATGTAATTAATCAACACGGTGGTCACTTGCTGTTTGTGATGCTGGCTGCTGCTCCTTTCTATAAGTGGGCCAAGAACTGTAGCAATGATCCTAATTATTGTTGCACAATTGCAAATACTGTGTGCATGCGCGCATGCAGGAAGAAGAAGCTAGCTGATGGGATCGATGTTCAGGTCCACACAAGCACTCCGGCTAGCGGTAATGAAAAGATATACTAGTATATGCTAAATTAGCAATTTAATTTACTTTAACATGTACAATTCACTCTTATTTTCTTCTTTTCATGGTTATAGTATAAACGCGCTCATGAATATACCCCTTAACACATATGCAAAGAGACATATGTGTGTGTGTGTGTGTTATAGAGGGGTCTTCTTGTCAACAAATTGAAAGGAGAATTTTAAGACCGTGGTTGAAAATTCAACCATACTAATGGGATTTTCAACCGCGATCTTTTTGTCCTAACCATTGTCCCTTACTTCAACTACCTTTCATTAAATGCGGGCATCATAACATTCTTTTTCTTCTTTAATTAATCTATATAAAAAAAATGGCACTGCTTTTATTCAAGATTTTTTTAAGCTAAGTATTCTTAACCGTAAAATTTTACAGATCTAGATGTATGACATCGATAATACTTCGATGCATAATTCCGTTCATATTTTAGATGGAATATAAAATCTTAAACCAATTTAATTATTCAGGGTTTGTTTGGCAAAGCTCCAGCTCCACTTCTCCTGGAGCTGTAGCCCAGCTAAATAATTTCAGCTCCACCTAAAATAGGAACGGAGCTGGGTGAGCATTCTCAAAAAATAAACTAGAAAGGTGGAGCTGGGTTTAGATAACTCTACAACTCCACTCCAGACTTAAGTCCTGAAGCTAAATTTAGGAGTTAGAGCTCTACCAAAAGAGTCCTGATATAGTTTTAACTCCTAAATTTAGCTCCAGGAGTTGGGTCTGGAGTGAAGTTGTGGAGCTGCCTAAACCCAGCTCCACTTCTCTAATTCATTTTGTGAGAGCGCTTTACCTAGCTCTGCTCCCATTTTAGGTGGAGCTTAAACTGTTTGGCTGGACGTACTCCAGCTCCAGGAGAGGTGGAGCTGGAGCTGTGCCAAACAGGCCCTAAGTTCCGGGAATTAAACCACAACAACGGTATATACCACGAGAAAGTATTTTCTACACCTGCATGCATTTAGTTTAAATAGTTATATAAAAAAATAATAAAATTTGATAAGATAGACTATGATAATATAAGACACAATACAAACATGCAAGTCAAAATCGATCTACACATGAAGAAACATAAATAACAAATTTTATCTGCGCTGTACATGTAGTGATTCACTGTCTGATTTTATTATTTTTGTTTCTCTAGTTGTAGATCAAATATAGTCTTGCATGTTTGTCTATAGACTTATATCATCACAATTGATATTACCAATTTTTTTTGAATTTTTTCTATAACTATTTGAGCCGCATTTAAATAGTGGGTGCCATGGTATCTAGGTGTAGAAAATCATTGTCCTATATACCACGCAATGGTGGCTTCCAAATTAGCTGAACATGCATGACGTGGTACTGCCAATGCAAAAAGCTAGCTCTTTACCACATGTTTATAGGGGAATGATGCTTTTTTACACATTATGTGGCGCCACATCGGCTTTTTCCCCACATATGGCTCCTGAGAATATGATCGATCGAGAGAGAGAGATAACCACTTTTAATTACGTACTACGTACCCTTCCACATGTGCTGCACATTCTGTAAAACGCTTAGTACAATTATACAGCACCACCAGCTAATTTGACCTGCCCTAGCTACAAAGGAAAGGATATTACTTACTTACTAGGTAGCACCAAAATTCTCTAATTGCGGAAAGCAACGGCTCCATGCGTTAATTTCACAATATTTGTATGCGAGCAAGCTAATTTGTCCCAATGTATTTGTAATGGAGCTTGTTCGATCGGCTGCTAGGTGCAGCAAGCGTTGCCTCACAATCTATGGTTGTTTTTACCATGTGTTCTGACAAGCGGCCTGGGGTTATTGTCTAAAATAAAATTATAATTTTAGTTTTCACCTTATATTTATTTGCAGAAGAGGTCCATATTGAATAGCAATAAAAACTAGGTTACTAGTTCTTTTGTAACTAAAGTTTATTTTAAGATATAAATTAAGTTGTTGGTACATTATTTTTTGTCATTTCATAAAGGTATTAGGTATGGATGATATTTTCTCAGCAACCTTAATTTCTTTTCTTAATCTAAGACAAAAATCTAGTGTACTCAAGCATGTAATAGCATACTGGCTAGCTACTGTGTGTTTAAGCTTTGTGTTGGGTTTAAGAAAGAGAGACTAAACAATTACTATATTAGCTATAGCTAGTTAGACATCCCAACCTATGGCAGCACCACAACAAATCAGACAAGGACAATTAATCCCCAAACTCTCATGCCATTAGCCACTAACCCCATGAGAGACAGACATGAGATCAATTGTAACCTCTCCTCACCTCACCTGCAGTATAAGTTACAGCAGCTATACACCCAAAAGCACACTCCTCCACTACACTCTACTACACACTTAGCCACCACAGTTAACACATTTACTACTCTTTTGCCTCAATAACATCAAGCCAAGCAAAGCAAGCAAGCTAGCTGACGCCCATAGCTTTGCTTAGCTATCCATCAATCTCACGCAGCTGAGCTAAGTTAAGGTTAGCGAGATGCGTGCCGGCGGCTGCGCGGTGCAGCAGGCGCTGGCGGCGGAGGCGGCGGGGGTGGTGAGGCAGGCGGTGACGCTGGCGCGGCGGCGCGGCCACGCGCAGGTCACGCCGCTCCACGTCGCCAGCGCCATGCTCTCCGCCGCCGGCCTCCTCCGCGCCGCCTGCCTCCAGTCCCACTCCCACCCGCTCCAGTGCAAGGCCCTCGAGCTCTGCTTCAACGTCGCCCTCAACCGCCTCCCCACCGCCGGCCCCGCCGCCGCCGCGGCCATCTTCCACCACCACCCACACCACCCCGGCGGCGGCGGCGGTCACCACCCCGCGCTGTCGAACGCGCTCGTCGCCGCGTTCAAGCGCGCCCAGGCGCACCAGCGGCGTGGGTCCGTCGAGGGACAGCCGCCGCCGCAGCCGCCGCCGTCGCCGGTGGTCGCGTCCAAGGTCGAGCTCGAGCAGCTCATCATCTCCATCCTCGATGACCCCAGCGTCAGCCGCGTCATGCGCGAGGCCGGCTTCTCCAGCTCGCAGGTCAAGGCCAACGTCGAGAAGGCCGTCGTCGCGTCGTTGGACCACGCGAACGCGGCAGGCGGCGGCGGCGGCCACGCGGGCTCTCCCAACTCCGGCCATGGAGGGAGGCGCAAGGAGAGCTCATCATCCAGAGCAAGGGTCGACGACGACGCCATGCGCGTGCTGGACTGCATGGCGAGCGGGACGAAACGGTGCGTGGTGGTCGTCGGCGGCGAGGGCGCGGCCGCGGCGGAGGCGGTGGTGAAGGCGGTGATGGACAGGGTGAGCAAGGCGGAGCTGCACCACCGGCACGAGCGCCTCAAGAACCTCCAGTTCGTGCCCCTCTCCATCGCGTCGTTCCACGGCGCGCCGAGGGAGGAGGTGGAGGCCAAGGCCAGCGACCTCCGCGCGCTCGTCCGCTCCGGCTGCGCCGCCGGCAAGGGCGTCGTGCTCGTCCTCGAGGACCTCGCCTACGCCGCCGACGCGTGGGCCGCCGCGTCGAACACCAGACGCCGCGCCGCCGCCGCCGCCGGCGGGCAGAGCTACTGCCCCATGGAACACGCCGTGATGGAGGTGAGCAGCTTGGTGTCCGGCGGCGGCGGCGGCGGCGAGAGGTTCTGGGTGCTAGGGTTCGGGAGCTACCAGGTGTACATGAAGTGCAGGGCCGCCGGGCAGCCGCCGCTCGAGGCCGTCTGGGAGCTCCACCCCGTCGTCGTCCCCGACGGCGGCCTCGCCTTGAGCCTCACCTGCAGTGAAGCTTCACAAGCTACTCATCAAGCGGCGGCGCCAACAGCTGGGTGGCCCTTCGTCAATGGCGCCGGCGAGGCGGCGGCGACGACGGCGAGCCCGACCATTCCGCCGTGGCTTCGCCGGTATCAAGATCCAGATCACGCCACGCCGGCGAGCTGCGGCACCGGTTTGCAGGTACATCTCTTAATTACATGCTTAATTACTTTTTCACAAGAACAATTTTTACATGGTTAGATTTCAAAATTACCATGTTTATACCTATGGCTATTGGTTGTTGTGTGCCTGTCGGCAGAGGCTGGAGATGTAAACCGTTTCTATTATATAAAAGTATTAAGATTATTATGTTTGTAATAAGATCTACCATTGTGCAGATACAAGATCTGTGGAATCCCATGAGAAATGGATCAGCACCACACCACACATCCGAGCTTACATTGAGTTTCTCCTCTCCATCACCTTCTTCCATCTCAGGATATACCAGCTGCTACAACAACAACAACATGATGAGCTCCAAGCCATGGCAACTCGAAGCGAGGCAGCCATGGCCAATTCATGGACATGAAGGTCAGAGAATGGCCATGGCATCATATCATGATCATCATCCGTTGGATACAAACCCTAGCCCAGAGTCCAACTCGGTGTCCAATTCATTGGATGGCGGTGAGACGAGGCGGCCCAAGTTCATCGAGCTCAATGCAGAGAACCTCAAGATCTTGTGCAATGCGCTCGAGAGCCGCGTCCCGCAACATAGCAACATTGTTCCAGACATTGCGAGCACCGTGCTCCAATGTCGATCCGGCATGAAGAAGATGAAGTTGAGGCATAAGGAGATCATCAAGGCAAGCTCAACTACTTGGTTACTATTCCAAGGAAGAGATGTTGATGGTAAGAAGGCCATGGCACAAGAGCTCGCAAAGCTTGTCTTTGGTTCATCTACCGAGTTCTCTTCCATCTCCTTCGATGAGCTCACATCGCCCTACTCCGATTCTAGCTCCGGTGAGCTCACCCTCAAGAGGCAAAGATCAGCAGACAGCAATGAGCATAGCTTTGCGCAGAGACTATGTGAAATTGTGAGCAAAAACCCACACCAGGTCATAGTGATCAATGACATTGAGCAACTTGATCAAGATTCAGAAATTAGTATCAAGAAAGCGATTGCGAACGGAAGAATGAGAGGATGCACCGGTGAAGAAGTTGATTTCGAGGATGCTATCATAGTGTTGAGCTATGAAGAAGAATTCGATTCGAGGTCTAGGGCTTCCTCCTCCCCTCGGGTCAAGCAGAGGCTCATGAACAATAATGATGATGAAGAAAGTAGCAGCACGGAGAAGGGAGATAATTCACCACAACGTTTTAGCTTGGATTTGAATGCATGTCTCGAGGATGAAGAAGAGGATGAGGGGTTTTTGCTAATTGATAATGGTGTGGGGATGCATGATATTGTGGATGGTGTTTTCTTCTTCGGGTTGATGGCAGATTTCTGACATTTTCCTTGTTAATTTGGCAAACAAATTAACCTAGAGTAATTTTTCATGTTTTATTTTCCATTTTGTACCAAGTTGATAGTCCTAGATATCTTGTAAAAGAATTTGGGTGTATTTCTACAATGAATTGGCATGGTCCTTTGTGGAAATTATGTAGAAGGAAAGCAAGCATGCATGTATATTATCTTTGAGCTAATGGTAGTAGTTTTTAATTATAATATAAATTTCTTTAATTTTGTTTTATACAATGATTTCCTTAATTTTTATCATATAACCCCTTGAAATATATTCTGAAACCGTGCACCATGTTCCACTTATAAGTAGACAGAATAAAAGATCATTTTTGTTTAAGTTAATTTCATATTGATCATTAGTTGAACTTGAACAAGAGTATAGCTAGCAAGCCTTGATTAGATTTGAGATTTATTTGAGGAATAACTTTTTCCCACCCATGTAGTGGAGAAACTAATTTAGCTGGGAGTTCGGACGTGGCAATGCTGAGGACATTCATAATATAGTTCATGACAATGATGTCTGTATACAAGTAGTTTAATTAATGTTGATGTGGTCTGTGGAAACATGCAATGCACAATCATCAACCATATATAATTATATATATGTAATAACGTTCTGCTCCCCACAAGGTGGAAATATATATAGTCCTATGTGAAATTGTTATTATAATAATCTTAATGCAGTCTTTTATTACTTCATCCGTTTTATATTATAAGGCGTTTTTGACCTTTTTGTTAGTTAAACTTTATTAAGTTTAACTATATTTGTAGAAAATCATAGTAACATCTCCAAAACTAAATTAGCTTTATTGAATATGTTTAATATATACTCTATTTGTTTTGTGTTAGAAAATATTGCTATATTTTCTATAAATCTAGTTAAAATTAAAGAAATTTAACTTATGAAATAATTAAAATGTTTTATAATATGAAACAGATCATAGGGAGTAATGGAGAGAGCTAACCACCTTTTCAACGCAAAGAGTAATCTTACACACACTTTGGATTAATGCAGGATGCGATCCAAATATGCAATTAAGTGCTTGCCACGACATCGACCTTACCTATCTAGTTTGACAATTAATCATTCCAAACAGTACTATCTCAAGCAAGAACTACACATGTTATTACAGACCTAATTATAGCCCCTAAATTAAATTAATAACCCAAACGCCGATCGATTAGATGACGACATGACAGGTACTCATGTGCTTGGTGCTATCATGGAGACCAAATTAGGTACAGACGTCGTCGTTGCCAGTCTCTGGATCGGATATGATGCATCACTCCTTTATCATAAAGTTTTAAATTAAAGAAAAACGTACACTCAGAAATATTATCCCTAACACAAAATTTTCTACGAAGGAAAAGGAGTCCTCGTCACTAAAGCATTTACCAGAACAATCGTTGTCCAATATAGATCAAAGTGCAACGTATCTGCTGGAAGGGTCAAGTAGTGTAGTTCGTTTTACAAAATAATATTCCTATTTTTTTTCCTAGTTGTTCACATATATCCTTTTCTTGTAAAAAAAAGGATAGTTACAAAACTAGGTGTACATGATTTCAGCAATATTGAGTTAAGTTACTTGTTGGAATTTCACGACCAGAATATACTAGGAGTATCTAGGACAGCATATACAGTAAATATATACCTATCTAGTACTGTCTCCGTCCTAGAATATAGGGAGAAGTTTGTGATTGGTTGAGAAGTACGTAGAGGTATGTGAGAAAATTGAATGGTGGAGGGTTGTTGTTATATTTTGGGACAAAACTTAGAGGCTAGAAGTTGTTATATTTTGTGACGGAGGGAGTAATTGGTTGTCTACATCCCTGTTAGGGTAGAGGTTGGGTTTTAATCCATTATAAGGAATATCTACCTATCAATCAATTAGTATTAATTCTTAGATCGAACCATATATAGATTACAATATATTAAAGAAATGCAAATACAATATAAAGTAATTTAAATAATCAATTGAAATAAAAGGAAACAAGAAATTGCATCTGTATAAGAATTAATTTTTTTTTAAAAAATCAGCTTTTCCTATAATAATAAATATTTTTGAATTGTTGACATAGAAATGATAAATATGAATTGCAACTTTCTTTATATTATATCTCATGTTCAACTTGGAAGCTTTATTAGTTATTACAACTGATAAAATTACAATTCGTGATGGATTAATTCATTCTATATATAATTTCCAATAAAATATAAAGAAATGAAAATTTTGTTATGGAACAGTCAAAGTTTTTATTTTTCTCCTAGACAACGCAAAAACATGACATGGCTTGAGGTAAAAAAACTGATAATTTACCATAGGATAATGTGGCAATTATTTTATAATTTGTGGATCAAATAGAGAGAGATAAAAAAATAGAAAATACTATATGTCTTCCCCTAGGGCTATCACCATGTAACCCAACTGGGTCCAGTTCGAAGCATATTTTGATTTCTAGGGTTTTAAAGAGAGGATCGGGGAAGGGAATGGGGCTCAGGTCTAGTTTGAACCAGACCTAGCTACGTTACATGTTGCTGGTCCAAGGGGTAAACTATCTTTAATTTCTATGTGGTTTTTCTTTCCATTTGGTCCGAAAAATGATAAAGAAAATGTTATTGCATTCTCCAATAAATTACCAGTTTTTATTATATCCTCAAGTCATGTCACTTTTTTAAGTAGTGTATAGGACCAAAGATCACAAACTTCAAGCGCATGTAGCAAATGTGGCCTAAAGAAATTGATATATACATTTAGAATGCATCAACTAGTGATTTCTCTTTAACTATCCAATTTGACAAAAATGGTTTGTGCTATCCATAGTGTTCTCATGTTACTAGATTCTTAAGGTGATCTATCCATTCAAATCATAAGCTAGAAAAATATCTATTTGTAATTATACTTAAGATCAATAAGCCATGAAAATGTAAGGGTTTATGACTCATTTATAATCTTTTCAAGTACTCTATATGGGCATATTATCAAGGTGGAGCTACATGCCCGTGGTGAAAAGATATACATACTTACGCTTTTTCAAGATTTTAGGTGTCTGAAAATATGTAATTTTCAGTCACCTAACTGAAATTGCATATTTCTAAGCCTAAAATTTTGTTGGTATGCAATGTGTAGTTTTAGTTCTTTTTAACTTGAAAATTTGTTGTTATATATGTTTTTCCAATTTGTACATATATCTAAGTCTGATTGTTTTTTCATGTAATTTTGTAGTTTTTAAAATTGTTAGTTTATTTAATGTAATTTTGTAATTTTTCTAGGTTAGAATAATGCACTGTTCATTTTTTTTATCTAAGAAAGAAGAGGCCTTTGTCTAAGTAATAGTGGAGAGAGAGGAAAATCATTGGATGAAAAAGTGACTGAAACTTTTCAAAATTTCAGTCACCTGAAATTTAGACACTATCCAATGTGGATGATTAGATATGGAATGCCCAGTTTTATTCTGAGCGTTATCCATCTCTTGCCTCTATATATGTATCATCTACAGTAGAAGGTTAGCTAGCTGACCAAGCAAGCTCAAGTTACGTTAGTTGCACTCAAACTTGACTCAATGGCTCTTATAGAAAACTACTTAAAGCTAATTTTCTTTTAGAAAAGGAAAGTGATAAACTACTGACCACTGTATTAACCAGGGATAAACATATATAATTGACTCTAGTAAATACAGAGGTTCGTATGAACAATTATTATCTTACTGGTATGCTTAAAAAGACTTTGGGGATGTAGAAAGGAGGCGGCACTTTAGAAGGCAAGGGGTGTAATCTTTATACTAAGGAGATGATCAAAAGGTATTTGCTTTTCATGTATGGTGATGCCATTTGTGAAAAAGAAGAAAAGGATCCTCCTTTTAGTGCTTTAGATTTCCAAATTCACATTCCCATCTTAAAAGTAGTGGGTGTGAAAAGCTTAACATGAGGAAAAAGAAAGGTTAACTAAAAGATAAGCATCTCTCTTGGTCATCAGAGACCCTAAAGCTTGGTGCTTTAGAATCCTGGGAAGATAATATATCTCCTGTCTAGCTAGAGCCCCCCCTAAACATCTGATCACTAAAATACACAGAACATGTGTAAGTAGGGAATTTGTCGTGTGTGGCTTTTCACAGATAAAAATTGACGACATCTGTTGAAACCTAAGAGATTAATATGTACTACATGCATACATAAGCCTGTATCTCTCCAATCTTTGTGTGTGTGTGTGTGTCTCTCTCTCAAATCTTCCTTGCATGCTGATCTATTCTTTCCATACAGGCACCATACACTTAGATTATTACATGTATCCCATAATGCTTTTTGTGTTTTTATCCCTCCCATTTACTTTTTCTATCTTAAAAGGGGAGAAGAGCCATGCTATACTTTCTTCTCAAAAGCAGCATTGTCATCGATCTATGTACGTATGTACATGAAGTATACGACTGCTGCCATATGCATTTTCGTACATGCATGTTTTAGACATACCACACGATTATATATGAACATATAATTGACCTTCTATGTGTTAGTGATAACCCCTCTAGCTATATATGTACTGTTGTCCGTTTCTGTTTTATTGGAAATTTTGCTTTCATCAATGAATTAATTAATTAAGAGGCAGCATGCAGCTGGAAATAACAGAAAAGGTGGAAGTATTATTGCAGAGCCTGCATATGTGTATACCATGCATTATATATTAGCGAGTCTATGTGAGGGGAAACACTCACTTCATTTGTAAAAGAATATTATTTTAGAATATGTAAAGTTATGTACCATACTTATTGGGCATATGAAACTTTATAATAAAAGCTTATTTACATAATATTAATTATACTTGTCTAACTTCCCTCAAAAAATTATACTTGTCTAACCTTTTTATTTATTAGAAAAATGAAGTGATCAAGTTACATGTACTCCCCCGTCCCATAAAAAACGAATATAGGTCCGGATGTAACACATATTCTAGTACTACGAATCTGAACATATGTATGTTCAGATTTGTACTACTGGAACGTGTCACATTCGGTACTAGATTGTTTTTTTATGGGACGAAGGGAGTAAGTAGGAGTAAGTATGTAACACTGCGCCGGTACAACATTTTCATACCGTACAACATTACCAAACAAATCACTAGCTTGCTAGCTAGCATCCATACTTATGTATATATATGCCGCTTCTAGTTAACTAATGCATTAAATTAATACTAGTATATATGTACTCAATAATTAAATCACTGAGTACCTATATAG